TATATATATATATATATATATATATATATATATATATATATATATATATAATAAGAATAAAATAAATATATAATATAAAATATATAATATCTATATAATAAGATCAAACAATTTATTTCACAGTAAACTATTTTATTTATTAATTAATACGATCTTAGAAATATAAACCTCCAAATTTTTGTTCATTTTTAAAGAAAAATACAACCCAGTAAATACAAAGTATCATCCATATTACAATGTCAGCTCAATCATATGTTAACCTTTGTTATATAATAAAGTAACAGTTACGTAATATACCATATAATTGAGCTGACATTGTAACATCAACGATACTTTGTGTTTACTGGGAAGAATAATGATTTTTTAAACAAAGTAGCTTCTGATAGATTCTTGTCTAAAATACGATTAAGAATTTATACAAAACTTTATTGTTTTAATTTCACAATGTATTACTTGAGACTTGAAAGAAGCTACATAAATTTTTTCACATTTTTTTCACAATTTTAAGTTGACGAAAAAACATATTGGATATGAATGACTTCACTCATTTAAAACTGCCGAAAATATCTATTCTCTGTAAAGATCAATCATATAAAGATCTTCGCAAATGCGAAAAATATTACAATTTTGTATTTCGTTTTTTTTTTCTTTGCAAATAACTATAAAAACCCTAAACACACATGTACGCCTAATAGCGGGGAGGATTGTTCACGATCTTGCGCGCCTAATTCCCATCTCTATTCACCTTTCTCTCTCTCTCTCTCTCTCTCTCTCTCTCTCTCTCTCTCTCTCTCTCTTTCTCTCTTTTTCTTCTTCTCGGTTCGATTTTTTTTTAGTTCGATGTGCGATTATTTTTGCGGGGAGGCGTAGAGCGAGTCGCAAACAGGGATTCCAAACGGGGGTTACGTGAGACAAGTGGCGTCGCATGCGTCCGCGCCACGTGCGTATTGTGCCACGGCGAATAATCGCACACGCGTGTGCATACGTGCGTAACAGCCGTGTTGGCACTTGGGCACGCGCTTCTTATCCCTCGCAGGGACCTCCTCCGTGTCTCTCCGTTGTGCTCGGCATCGTTAAACACTTGACGGGGGGCAGCCCCGTACGTGCGCGTAGGAAAGATTCTTTGGCTTTTTTCACACGAGTCCTGAGAAGTTGCTTCCCCCCGCCCCTTCTCTCTCTCTCTCTCTCTCTCTCTCTCTCTCTCTCTCTCTCTCTCTGCAAGAAAAATTGATTATTGACAATCTATGAATCCTCTGGGTTCTTATTTTAAACGCGTGGCGATCGCTAAGTGCACCTTTCTAATTCCAAGGTTTGATATTTTTGTATGAGCTATCAAGATTTAGTATAAAAAAACT